TAGCTGAAATTTAAGCTTATTATTTATCTACTTAGAAATTGATTGAACAATAAGATTTAGAGCAGGAATAGTGGACAAATTCATTAATTGGGAGAGGGTGATGTTCAACAAGGATCTGGTTGGGGCCTCGACTGTTCTCTACCTTTTTTAATAACTTAAATTATGCGTTACAATGCCACATGCCTAAATTTGTCAGTGTAGAGGTATATAGCATTGTAAGTGGTGTGAATGAATCTCTAACGTTACAAAGAGATATCAATAGTTTTGCCCGTCCACTTTATTTGTGACAAGTATAGGTTAACGTGAAGTTGGCCACTTTGGATGTCAAAAGGATAAAAATGGGTATAACCTAAATAGTGAAAAGCTAGAGAGCGAAAGCCCAAAGAGACTTGAAGATCCAGTTACAAAGCTTGTTGAAATATCTTGAACAGAGAAGAAAATGGTTATAAAAAGCCGATGGAATATACAAACATACAAATTAGGGGCAGATGTAGGCCCTTTGGCCCATTGAGCCTGCATCCAAATATTGCTCCAGTGTCCTGTATAGCTGAAGCATAACTTTCCACTTTTGTATTCAAATCTTATTGCAATACACTATAACATTCTTGCCAATTAGCTTTCTTAGTTACTTACTGTACCTGCATACTACATTTTTGCAATTTACCTACTAGGGCATCCAGACCCCTCTACACCTCAAAACTGTTTGGTCTCTTACCATTTAGATAGTATGCTTCTCTATTGTTCTTCCTGTCAAAATGGAAAATGTAATCTTGTTGCAAATAATACTTCATTTGCCAAGTCTTTGCTCACTCAACATATTGAGATCACTTAGATCACCTTTTCAGTCAAGTGAGCTTTATGATTTTATCTTCTTTCTAGATCACTGTTTTTCCTGTTCACATCTTACTTTCCTTCCTATCTTTGTGTAATCAGCAAATTTAGCAATTGTACCTTTGGTCTCTTCATCTGTGTAATTTATATGAATTGTAAACAATTGTGACAGCAGCACTTTACATGTGGCATGCCACAAAGATATGTCTGCCAACAGTAGGCCAATTGATGTCTACTGTTTCCTCTTCGCTTTCCAATCTTCTTTTCATGCCAAAATGTTACCTGCAAGATCATTTAACCATTCTTTTCGTAAATAACCTTTGTGGAATCTTATGAGATGCCTTCAGGAAATCTACTGATTCTCCTTTAACCACAGCACTTATTAAATTGGTTAAACATGATTTCCTTTCATGTCGACTCTGCCAGATCACCTTGAACTTTTCAAAGTATCTTGGTATAGTGTCTTTAATAATTGCTTCTAGCATTTTCCCATGTCAGATTTGAGCTAACTGGCCAGTAATTTTCTGTTTTCCATTTGGAATAATACATTTACTATCCAATGCAACTTTCCCTGAATCTAGGTAGTTTGGAAGATTTTGTCCTTTGTACCAAGAGGACTGAATATTAGGTGATAGAAATGAGACAGCAGCTATATAAAGTCCTAGTTAGATCACGATTTGAGTATTAAGAATAGTCCTGGGCTATACTGGCTTTTGTGGTAGTAAACTGTAGATTTATCAGAATTATACCTTGACTCCCAATACAGAAGAGATTATACAATTTGGGATTGTATTTCCTGAAATGTGGAAAGTTATAGGATCGTTTGTTCAAACTTTTCAAGGTAGGGAAGGGAAGAGACAGAGTAGATTGATTCCCCAACAGCAGAAATTGTTTGTAGGGCCGGGTCGGTTGTGTTTTTAAAAAAAAAAAATCCAGATCTTTCAGGACAGAAATTTGGAAACATTTCTAAACATACAAGAAAGTAGATGTTTGGTACACTGTTTTGCAAATCACTATTGATAACAGGTCAATCATTAATTTAAAATCTGAAATTGATAAATTTCTGTTAACCAAAGGCATCAAGGGATATAGGGCAAAATAGATTTTTGAAGTAAGCTTGTCGATCAGTGATGGTTTCGTTGATTAGTAGAGCTGTCTTCCCATAAGTATGCCAACTATAATAGAACCTAGTATCAGTTTTTTTAGCACATTATGTTCTGTTCTCAGGCCAATAGAGAAAATCATAAAACTCGCTCGACTGAAAAGTCTGGCAAACGTCAAACAAGGCAAGAATTAGAGTTTGGTTTTCTGGTTGAAACTGACATGCTAGCAATGTTGCATAGAGCCCACCTTTCAAGCAATATCAAAATGCCCCATAACTAAGTTGTTGTTCAGCAGAGAAAGGAAATTTATTAATGTCAATGTTACTGTTGTTGCAGAAATATAATCCTTTCTGATGCATAGATGGGAGCTGCACGTGGGGACCCTGCGGAATCCCCATTGTAGCAAACTCTGGAGGAGCTTCCTGGAAAATGGAAAATTCTGCTGGGTAGTTCCCCATTTCTGGAACCCTCTGGAAGTATAAATTTAAACTGGAACATGTGGAGGATTCCACTGCAATTAATTAAAATAGTTACTCAGGAGATACAACTGATGTCCCAAGTTACCTCTCCCGTTTAACTGTGCTCCTCCGACATCCCCTAGAATCTAACCTCACACTTACATACTTAACCTTTCACAGGAGCTGTCAATGTGGCTGTCTGTAATTTTCAGAATAAGACATCTGACTGCCGTGAGAGTATGATTTGCCCTCACTCGAGTGTTTTACACTCAAGAACCTGTCAGAATGGAAGTATGGCTCTGTGTTTCTGAAGGAATCCTGAGTATAATCTTCCTGTCAAAATGAAAGCTCTTTCATTTGATGTGAAAGGAGTTGTGGAATGGCAGTCTCTGATTACCACTCCTTAGAAAATCTGGCCCCTGTTGTGTCGTGCTTTAGATCAGGTGTATACTGAGAACATTGACTGTGAGTAAGTAGATTCAAAAGCAAATTTCATCTTTGATATTAATTGAATTTCTTTAACTTCCAAAAGTCAATATTTATGATAAATTGCAACGTAGCCTGTTTTCAAAACATCTGAAGTCCTGGCAAGTTCTGCCCAAGATATTATATTCACTTAATTTTACTGCGAAAGTAGTCATGCATTTTCAGTGGATGGAGGGTAAATACAGCAGATCTCCTTGGTCTTACTTGGACTTTTTAGATTTTACTTCAAGCTGTTGTTAAACTAACAGGATGTGAATGAGAAATTTCAGAAACAGATTTCAGGTTTTGTGCAGTAACGTTTGCTTCATTCTTCCTCCGTACATTCAAGTTGCAATTTATAATTTTGATTTCTTGAGAATTTGCATATTTGCCTTTAGGAACATCATAAAAGATCAATACCTAAAGACACCTGGAACCTTTTATTAGACTTCAGCTGTATGATTGCTGATGACATGTCCAATTATGATGAAGAAGGTATGTTATCTAAAGTAACTGTCCAAAGATTATTTTGAAGTTGCTTTGGCTTGCACAATTATTACTCAGCTGTTAAACTATTTTAATTACTTTGGAATCAGTCACTGAGATTTTTGCTTAAGGATTTAGCAGTGAGAGTTACTTTAGGCATAATCTGCACTTTGCCAAACATTACTAAAGTCATAGAACTCAAAGTGATCAAGGTGAGTCCGTTTAAATGGGGCACATAGACTGGTGAATATATCAGAAAAATGTAGGTCACAGAAAATTAATTTGATGTTCAATAATTTTATTTGTTAAAATGGCATCAGTTACTGTAGGCACATTAAAAATGAGCGTTACATTAAAAGGGAATACTGCTCATTGCATCTGGATTGAGTTGGAATGGGTTAACCACGACACTACGTTTCAATCTAAGGAAATTGGTTTTGGTAACCTGAATTTAGTCTTGCTCGGGATGAATCAAACAACCTGAAGCATTGGAACTGTCCTGAATTGCTTACAAAATCAACACTCACTCAAAAATATCATAAATATTACATTTATGCAAGAGTGGAGGGCTACTTATTTAAGGCTAAAGTTGAGGTGCAACATATAGAGTTTTAATTTGCATTTAACCTTTGCAGTACTTAATCTGGGAGTGCTTTTTGTTGAGGGTTGCTTAAAGTTCAGTTTTTCAATTTTGTACTCCTCTCCTGAATAGCATTGAATAATAAAGTAAAATGTCTGGAATTAAAATTTTAAAAAAATGTTTACCTGTGCAACTTTGATGTTTTTTAGGAGCATGGCCCGTGCTTATTGATGACTTTGTGGAATTTGCACGACCGCAAATCACTGGGACAAAAAGTACAACAGTGTAGCATTTGGGAAGCTTTGTCGCAAAATGTACATGGTGTGTACAGAATGAAAAATACAGCAAATAATGCACAGTCATTTCACAATTAGTTAATAAAATTCAGATCAATGGATTGAAGTGAAGATCAATCCTTTTTATTCTATCCAGAGGGTTGTTAACACCAAAAAGGACTTTTCTTCAATCATATCGTATTCATTTAATGGTGGTTTGGGCTTCTGTCTTAGTCAGGACCTCTTTATGTAATTTCATCAACACTGAGTGAGAGTTCCGTCTGTATATTATTTGGAATCCCATTTGGAGGACTTTTCTGAAAGGATAATTTTATAGTGCTTTTTGACATCAAGCACATGCTGCCTTCAGTTAGGAGCTGAACAGCATTCTTGGACTCCGGAAATCTGTGTTTGAAATGGAAACCTTGATTTGATCTAAATACTTTTTAAATTATGTAAACAGGCAGTTAGACCATCACAGAATCTTACTTTAGCTAATATTTCAGCTGTTTCTTGTTCTATGGCAGATTACTTGACATAAAGTCTTACTATTCTATGAAGACTGGATCATACCATGCCTATGCACGAAATTCAGTCCTGCTCCATAATGAAAGTGGTGATATTGAATGGTGAAATCCTACAATTGAGATCTGTGGTATTTACTGTTTGTTTTTCTTTTTGACAAGAATAAAGTTTCCCCACCCAATCACCATCTGATATTAGCATATTGCTAAACATATTTAGGTCTGGTATAATACAAGAGGCACCTTGTCACCATTCTGATCCTGGATTTTGCATCTTAGCCTTGGATATTTGCAATATGCAGCACTCTGGAAGGTATTTCAGGTTTCCTTTCTAACTGCAGTGTGCTGTAGCTAAGAGAACTGAATTGGGTTTTATGCTGTTGACTCAGAGTAACTGAAATTCCTTCACGTGTTCAACTCGGGCAGGTCATGGCCATGCTTAACATAAATCAGACCTTTTTGTTAATATATCCAAGAAAATTCATGGTAAGTGGACTAGAAATACCTCTGTCTTTTCATTGGAGTTTATAGTCATTCATTTTGTTGAGATTAAAATGGTCTGTCCTCTAAAGAAAGTACTATTTTACACCTGTTTTGATCCTTTACCCTGGCTGATAATTCATTTGTATGCAAAACTGAATGTTTAAGTTGACTTGGCAAAAGATTTGAACATTATTTATGAGAGATGAATTTTGACACTTCTATGCTTAGCAGTTTTACTTGTAATTTCCCTAATAACTTTTTTCTCATAGACTGCCATGTCTATTGATCATTCCCTGTATACATATGAATAAGTTTGTAGAGGATAATGAAGTTTCAGAAACTAATTTCTCAGGTCAGTGTTCAATTCAGTTTTAAGGTGAGCCTTTTTTTTTTAAACATAGAGACAGGAGTTTAAAATATGCAGAAAATCATTTAAGTAGCTTTCACAATCTTATTCTTACTGTAAATGACTCCCATGTTGGTCTAATGATGCATTTTTCAGGTACAGGTGGAAGAGACTGTAGTCATTAGGATTTTTTATATATATATTACATATCCTTGATCTGGATTTCATACTCTGGTCTTCAGTGAAAACAGCCTGTATGTTATACCCTGTGCTAATTTCAAATGCATTTTAAAATTGTTTAATAAACTTTAATTTATAGGTGTTTTTATGTTATACTGCCATCTAATGCAGTTGACTTTCAATCAGTTTTCACTCACCTGTGCTTTGAATGCTGAAACTGTTACATGGTTCCTTTCATTTATTTGTGATGTACAGCCCATGCAGAGGCATTTCAATTAAGTTCCACAGTTTGTTACATGCCCCAGTGATATTTTGACATCAACCATTTTAATAATTCAAGTGAAACTTGTTAATCAATATTGATGAAGCAAATACACCTAAAGAGTTAAACAAGCCTGTTCATCTTGCTTAGAACACTGGAATTCAAAATGCAGATCATATTTGAGCTGTATGCTGTTTTTGTCAAAAGTTAATGGCCTGATAATTTGAGCTTTGCCACAGTTTTGAAACAAAGTTTCTTGCATACTTTAATTCAATAACTTTGAAATGTTTAAATTACCCAATTACGTTTCTGTCCAATTCTATGATGTCATAAAAATTCAAAGACATTTATTGAGTAATACAGCACGGAAACAGACCCTTCAGTCCAACTCGTCTATGCCAACTGTTCAAATGATCAGAGAAAGCTGACCATTGTAGAAAATCTACTTTCTAATTTTAATTTGGAAATTATACTTGGTTTTGTGTTGAAGATGCATGGTACATTTTAAAGTGCAGTTCTACTGTTTATATTTTGGTAACACTAAGTTGCAGACTGAGTCAACCCTAATTAAAGAAAAATGGAAAATACAGCTTTGTGCAAATTTTATCTAATTTGCATTTTATACTGTGCAAACATGATGTACTTGAGTACTGTATGAACTATGGAGTCAGTTAGAACTCCACTGTCATTTGCACATGAGATTAGAAAATTCCTAAGAAGGCTTAGCTGTTAAAATGAGGTTACATGAACATTATAAACAAAATAAATTTAAAAGCTAAGGTTAAGCAATGATGTTTGGATATGGCTTGAATTTAGGTACTTCTGATGCCAATATAGTCTTTTAAATCAAGATATTAAAGATAAATCTATTTAAAATGCTAGATTTTGATTTGTTGCTCACCAATGCAATCTCATTGCCTGCTTCTGTAGAAATTCAGTTGACTAATGCAGTAAATGATTATATAAAACATGCAAGAATTCAATGCACAAATCTTCTTACGGACTGAACAGAACTGGAAATGGACCCTACCAGGTCTGTTAATGTCTGTACATTATTTCTGTTGTGTCCTTTTTATATTCGTCTTGAAGCTTCTTCCCTTTGTTTTCATAAAATCACAATTGCTGTGAAAGATTTCTCCTTCACAAAGCCATTTATTAAGCAAGTTTCCAATGAGAATGCATTTCAGTTGGACATGCAAACCTTTAATGGATTGTGAGCATTTGTGTCTAAGCACACACAGCTGGAATTTCATCATGATGAAATCTTCAACCCTCTTGAATAACCAAATGTGTATGAAGGAGGAATGAGTTTTTTTTAAATTTTGTGTTAACTTGAAAACACATCAACATGTACAGAGAGGAGCAAGCAGGATGGCGAATTATTGGTGAGTAACTAATCGTGCAGTTTTGAGCAGGATTTAAGTTCCACCTTCAAGGTGACGTTGCTTTCCACAGGAATGGCCTGAACATTACCTTGCTATATCTTTGGATTATTCTCCAGCTTTCAAATCTAATGGAAATTTTTGTTGACTGAATGTTCTCACTTGTCCCTGTGGGAGAATTATCTGTGTTATTGAGTGGTAGGAATGTATTTCAAATGAGAAAGGTACTTATCCATATGTTTGTGCATGCCAGGCCTGTTTGATGTAGAAAATGCACTTACTCTTTTTTGGTGTGTTTTAAGAAAAACATCAAAATATTTGGATTTGATCCTTGGAAATATTTATAGACTTTTTTTTAAAAAAAAAAAGCTGCATTACTGTTCTTTTTAAAATGATGATCTTGGGAAGTCTGATATCCAATTAGTAGCCTTTGTATTTTTACTTGGTTTACTCATCATTTTGTTCTTCCATGCCGCAGCAGTTTCTAACTAGGGGTAGACAGAGACCTACTTTTAAAGCTTTTGTCAATTTTTAAAACTTGCCATTACTTTGTTAACTCAGCATAACAGTTTTCTTTTCATGAAGAACATAACATACTTGCTACAGTTATACTTAGTGACAAAATGCAAGCCCCAAAGTGCTCATTAATTAGAAATGTTTTCATGGAAATTAGTACTGTTTCTGTATTCATGAACAATGCTGGTGTAACTAACTACTGCACTGAGCTATTCATAGTGATTTCAGATTGCATCAAAGCTGTTCACTGATGGATTTTGTACTACACAGACACAAACTCTGAATGTCCCTTCCAGAAGCTTGAACCTTCTTATGTTTTCTACTGCAGTGTAATGCATTTTGTCTGCACATTTTTTGTACATTTAAACAAAAGCGTGATTGCAGTTATGGCATGATGCACATTTTAATATCAAAGCTGACTTCAAGTAATACAACTACCATAGTTATTTAAGGTGCTTAGTCACTTGAAGAGATGAGTGGTTTCTTTAAAATTGCTATGGAATTATAAACAACACTTTAAGGAATGTTAATCATAAAAAAAGGGGAAGTGGGGCATTCAGAATGATAAACTTGCAATTCCTTATTAAAATTTCCTTAATGAATGCTCAAACTTTCTTTAAACAGCTACATGAACATGTAAAGCAGAGATCTTGTTTTAAAGGACAATATAATCACATGTCTGTTGACCCAATACAGAATCATCTGCAATTTTTACGTAGTATGCCAAAACCATGGTCTTTCTTCGCTTGGCATAGAATAAACCAACATGTTTTGGTGTATGTTTGGCCACATCCTTGAATATGACTTGAAAAGGGTACATCTGTTCCTTTTGTGGTATTTTAAGGATAATGGAGAATTGAGCATTTGTTCAAACTGAACAATTGTTAACTGTGAAGTCTTCATCCTCTGGTATGGGACAGGGAAACAGTATTGTAATTCAGGCCTAATATAGTGCTTTGTACGTATTGCAATTCTGTACACTTGTAGGTAGTACATTTTAGAGTATTGAAAGCTTATTTAGGAAGAGCTTGTTTAAATGGATGTCTTGTAAATTATGTAAAATTTTTATCTCATTATGGGCAAATGTATTGTAAATTGACACAATGAAAATCTACAGGGTCCACTGAGAAATGCCAATAAAAGGGTTGTAAAAATATCAATTTATAAGAATCTCAGTGCCTGTTTGCTAAGCATTGAATAAATCAAGAAACATTCTGAAACTGAGGTGTAATAAATCCTGTGGATCAAAAGTCAGACACTTGTGTTAAATGTCCAAAATAAATATGTGGGTAACTGCCTTTTTTCAAGAGCCCAAGTGTTGATTTTACTCTTTTACCTAATGACTTCCTCAATTCACTATGTGCAGGTTTTCTCAGTCTTGGTTATGATTTTTTAAAAAAAAGTTTGGTTGTAGTTCCTTGTCCAAAACTCTTACGAGTATAGAACGAGTTAAAGTCAATCCTGCCTCGGATTTAAAAAGAATAAATCTCACATACAGATCTTATTGCAGCTCTTAAAACTTCAACAAATTTATTTCTTTCTTGAACACTGCCCTTAATGACTTTCTTTAACTTGTTCCAGCTTGCTCTGTTACCCTGAAGGGAATGTGTTTCAGTTGGCTGACCTTGTTGCCTGAATATTTGAATTTCTAACTTACAATCCATGCTACTAACATAAATAAATTGCTCACTATGGCAAATTTACCTGAAGCAATTTGGTTTATTTTCTCTGTAACTTTAAGTCCAGTTAAATCACCTCAGTCTCTTGCAAAGAAAGCAAACTCCATGTCAACTTCTCACTAAAGTTGAGTTTTTTTGCTTACATCAGTAACTGGCTAACCAAGCCACAGAAGGGTATGTAACTAAAACTTAGTAATGCATTTTACTTGTTTAGCTGATTAAATGCAATGCTTTATTTAGTTGTAGTACTGTATAAAACACTTCTGCACTCCTATTTTTATTATTTTAATATGTCATTTTTAAAAATCTGAATCATGCTTCATTCTGCCTCCAGTATTTCCCGGTTCTAAACAAAAATTGCCTCCCTTGTTTCAATCATTAATCTAGGCACAAATTTTGCTAGCTTTGTGAATGAATCAAGTTTGTACTAAGTCATTTTCATAATCATGTAAAACCTTCCTAGACTAGCATAATGAAATATTTTTAATTGCATTAAAAATGTCATTAATAAATATGAAGATGGGCTTATCTGAAATATTTTCAAATGAAGAGTCTGTTGCTCCACTTGTGGATAATCTGGAAGAGATGTACATGGCTCATTGGGTGTGTACTAGTTAATTCTTAAATATTTGACTAATTGAGCTTTCAAAGTAAACTTAGCCAATTTGAGGAGTCCCATTTGGTATCAACTTGTTATGTTTTGTGGATAGAGCTAATATTTAAACCAAGGTTAAGATTGCAGAAACCTGACATGTGCTCAGACAAAATTTGTTGATCATTATGCTGGTTGGCCAGCTTCCCACTGTCCAATTGTTTTCATTGCACGGAAGACAATTAGTGTCCTTTGCTGCTGTTTGGCCAATACCGAGACCTAGATCAGCAAAACCAAAAATGTTTAATCTTCTTGACCTTGGCCTCTAACCTTCCCATCTCACATTAATTATAGTGCTGCGTCCACTTATATAACATTCCCAGCCTCAGCCTTTTATTGCTACCATCCCTATTGGAATACTAACTGACTTTTCAAATGCTATGCCTCCTCCACAACTCATTTTCTGACGTGGCCCTCTGATACTATTCCCCTAAACTTTACTTGCCTGCCCTTCAGCAGTACATTCTGACAAATCCTTAACCTTTAAATGTTGGCCCCCACCAAAAAAAATCTTTAATATTTTCCTTGCTTGGTATTCAAGTTGTCTTTCTCAATGTAAATCATTTTCAGAAGTGAGTATTCTGTAAAAGTATAGATTAGCTTTGTGGCTAGGTTCACAACGTGCCACAAAATTGCTTTCCCACAACAGTCTGGGCCATGAGTAGCTTATCTTAACCACATCATTTCTTGCCTAAAGCTTGACTCTGAGTATTTGATACATGCTGGCAATCTTACAATAAAAGTCCCATGCCCCTTCACATGGCGCAATCAGATTTTTAAAAATTCACCCCAAGTCAGACAAAGATGTTGGGACAGGCTCAAGAACTTGATCAATTAAGTACCTTGTACAGAACCTAAAAACAGATGTTACAGCCCAGTAGCCTGCTTGACATCTAATAGGATCATGGCTGCATAATCTTGGATTTTTTTTGGAGTGACCAAAAGCATGTCTTAACTAACGTTTAAATACAGCGTACCCATAAACTTCACAGCTGGACACTTCCAAAGATTTGCAAGCCTTTAGCGAATTTATCCCCCTGTCCTGAGTGTTCTAGTTTCTGCAGTCAGGGTGTCCACCCTACCCAGTATCCTGCACAATCTTGTATATTTTGCCAATATCGTGTCTCTTTTCTAAACTACAGGGAGCGGAAGTTCAATTTACTCAGCTTTAGCGAACACACTCAACCCAGGAACAGTGGCTCAGTGATTAGCACTGCTGCCTTATACGCCAGGGACCCGGGTTCAACTCCACCTTTGGGTAACTGTGTGGAGTTTGCACATTGTGGCTGCGTGGGTTTCCTCCCATAATCCAAAGATGTGTAGATTAGGTGGGACGCTCAGAGGGGCAGTGTGGACTTGTTGGGTTGAAGGGCCTGTTTCCACACTAGCGATTCTATGAAAAATCTAATGAGCATTTACAGTAGCAGCTCCACTGTAAGTTCACCACTCTTTAACTATGGAAACTAAAGTTGCACACATTATGGCAGGTATCAATCATTTTACCAAAGCTCTATACAATTAGTGAAAAACTTTCATATTCTCTAATCACCTTGCAATAAAGCCCAAAAGCAATTTGCGTTCCGGACTTCTTCTTGTACCTGCATGCTATGGTTTTGTGTTTTTCTCATGAACACATCTAATTCTTTCTGAACAACAACAGTTACAAGTTACATGCTTTTAGGGAAATAAATCTACTCTTTCCAAAATGAATAACCTTCCACCTCTCCACTTTATACTAAATCTGCCATCCTGTTGCCTTTTCACAGAGCCTATTATCTCCGTGTGTTCTCAGCAAATCTGGATACCTTACGTCTGTATCTTGAAGACTTTGATCAGATCATCCTTAACTTTCTAAATTCTGGAGAAAACCGGCCTAATTTGTATAATGTCTACTCATAACCCCTGAAGTCCAGGTCTAACTTTTGTTAAACTTGCAAGGCCAGTAAATCCTCCTCAGATACCCAGATCTACTTCCTAAGGTTTATCACAAGACCATTAAATTCTATTGCTTTGACCTTTTAAGATTCTAAATTTCTCCTCAGCTGATCCACCAAACTCCCTCCCACTCCCCAAACAGTTTCAGTTCAAGGTATTTTTGGTAAAATAAATGTAAGCAGAACAGAAGATTAGCAGGTGTTCACTAGTCAGGATAAGGGATGAGGATCAGGCCCAAGAATGGGTAGTAGGAAGAAGGATGTAGCCTTAGCCTTATGTGGATATGAATAAACTGATACTTGGACATCTGTGCAATCTACGATTGTGAATTGACCAGAATAAAGTTCAGTACGTGTCCTAAAGTGTATAAAAGCAATAAGAACTTGTGGGTTTTCCCCAGAGTTTAGTCTTAGACTACTTAGAGTCAGCCCTATCTTACACTTGAATAAACAATCCATGCAAACTATTGTTATCATATAATAAACTACTTTGTTACCCGGGACAAATACCCCTTCTGTTTAGACTGTGGTCTGTCCTCTACCCTTAGGCAAATAGATAGGAGGATTGATGACCAATGAACTACATAAATCAGAATACCATATGCCAACGGTGGTGGTAACTAACAAATCAGTATGGTGATCAGTGGCAGGAAAACAGAATTCATTTGACCCTGAAGGAGGAAAGAAATTCTGAAGTGAATTTCTCTCCTTAAGAACATTACCTCTTTTAAGATGACAGTCAGAAGCTGAAACACAAAAAAACCGACAGAGTCATCAGAGGCCATGGAAGCACCATTGCATCAAATTCAGCACTCCAAAGTCAACTCTTCACAAAGTAACTGGTAAGAGGTGCAGGGAGAACTGTTTGTACTGTGCCCAGTAAACCATACCAAGAGGCTATACGGAAATGAAAGAGATTTAAACAGACACAGAACTACCACTCAACAGAATTTAAAGTCTTATTGAAAATTATAATACTGCACTACTGCAACAGAGTTTAAACAGACTGGCAAGCAAGGAAGTTGCTCCGACGCTGCTCTCGTACAGTCTAGCAAAATTGACAGCAAGAGAATTTAAAACAGCATTGATGGATGAGAACACAAGCCTACAGAACAGCAGGTTGCAAGCAGTATTGAAATGTTAGAATTAAGACGGCTTTATAATAAGAATTAGTGAGCACGTGGAAAAGAAAATAATACTTATCCAAAGATTCAAGGTCATCAATGGACCATGCAGGACACATCATTGGACATCTTGGAGAAGACTTCTCACCGAAATGCTTAAAAATTAAACAGTAAATCAGAGACTGAACAAATTAATTCATATTTGTGTTTGTACAACTCCATGGGAACCAGACCAAATGTCCACATTGAGGAACACAGTCAAAAAGACAAAGTTACCTGGTTAAGCTTCCCTAATACTGCAAAACTGTGAAAATCGGTTTGAAATCACAAAGGAATTGGCTCCAAAAATCCAGGATACTGCAAGAAAGATAGTACTTGGTGTATCAGAGCAATTGCCTTCTGTAATGGACAATTGTAAAATTAAACATTCCCTAGATATTATGAGACACTTACTGACTTAAAGAAGAGTTCCTCTGCAGAATAGAATTCAGGCGATTAAAGGTCTTCCAGACTCTGTCTATAAGGAACAATGTCCTCCACAAACAAAATACAAGGCATAAAGATCCTTCAGCAGATAAATTACTCTCAGATTGGAATCAAGTCCATGCAAAACAGCTGCCATTCCTCATAAGTGTGCATTATGGGAAAATGTGATCTATTTAGATTATAATTGAAGTCACAGACTTGTGGGGGTGTGCAGGGCAGGGGGTGGGGAAGAGATGGGATAGTGGTAAATATATAGTTAAGGTTAACTCTGGGAGAAAAAAGCTTGCAGGGAGTTTACAAGATAATGGTTCTGAACGAGTTCATGTTACATTGAACTCTAATCTGATATTGTTTGGGGTGGACTTAGCAGGAGTCTGTAAGGAACTGTAAAGAACAGTTCTAAGGAAGGGTCACCGGACCCGAAACGTTAAGTC